GGAAACGGGAACGACGCTTATCCGCCCTTGTGGCGTGTGTGGGATCCAGGGAGGTTCAGTGATGTCTGGGAATAACACAATTTCTAACCTAAAACCCCGTTTCAAGTTGCCCAAAGCACATTTCAAACTCCAGAGCCTCGGGCAGAACTCGCTGCTGTGAAGGTGGGAGAGCACCAGCCCCCTCCATCCTCCTGGTTTTGCGCCCTGGAAGGCAGGACCAGCTCCCGTGGCCGCCGGCACTACCGCCTGCTGCTGCTGCTGCCACGCCAGGGAGATGCCCCGGTTCTCCACCTCCAGCTGCCCGTCCGTACCTCCTCCCCCGTCCCCTGCATGATCTCCACCGGGATGGAGTAGATCTTGTTGTGCATCTCGACGCCGCGCCTCATGCCGTTCCTCACGCGCACCAGCAGCACACGGAAATTGGTACCTCCCAGGTCCAGGGCGAGGAAATCGCCCTTTTCTGAAAGCCAAGAGAGAATCGTTAGGAGAGAGATCCCAGCAAGGGCCATCGTCAACGTGGCACAAAGCTGATCCAAATCTGCCCTCTTCCTCGGGGAGGACCAGAAACCAAGACGCGGCTGGGAACGGAGCAGGTAGGAAGGCGGCGGATGGAGAGTTGCTCCAGACTCGGGGAGATCACGGGCTTTCGAGCCAAGGGGCAGGCGCACACCCAAGCCACCGACAGAACTGGGAGTGCAACCCAGGACAATGGTGGTGAGAAACCTGCGGTGGTGAAACCCACGGGGAAAGCCAGGCTTTGTGTTAAGTCAAGTGCAGAACGTCCCGGAGGCTCAGCCGCTTTTCCCAGTATCATACTGGAGGTTAAAAACCTTTGTGCCACTCCCACCACGAAGAGGGAACTGGCCAAAGGTCCCAGCCCTTCCCTGAGCGGCGCGGATGTTGGGAGCAGCGATGGCGGCTCGTTGCCCTACGCAGGACATGTGTGGGCTTACACACACGGTACATCACCTGTCCCATCCGGCGTTGAGCACACGTAGGTGGGCAGCATTTTCACCGTCGCCTCTGCGTGCGTCTCCTTGCCCAGCCCATTCTCCATCTCCACCCTCATCCTTTCCTTCACCTCCAGGAGCTGCTCGTGGCTCAGCTTGAGGGCCTCCAAAATCTTCTGCCGTGCCTTGTGCTGGGCGGCCAGCCTGTAGGCCACCGCCGTCACCATGGCTGCCCCTTTGCCGCTGCCATCTTCCGACCTCACGAAACGGATCTCGCAGTCCGGCAGCAGCTTCCGCACTGTCTTATGGAGGCGCCGGGCAAAGCTGCGGAGGAGGAAAGAGGACCTGAGAACGCCACCGCGAGTGACGTGACCCTCCGGGCCGTAAGTGCCTGGGGCCCCTTTGGGATCCAAACGGAGGTGCCCAGGGGAACATGTGGAGATGCTCTGCCGTGCCAAGCTTTAGCACTGCTGGCAGGAACGTGCTCTCTCGCCCTCTCTCCCCACCAGCCTTGCCTATCCTCACGGACTCACTGCGGATGCTTCTTGTAGACGGAGCCATCCACGCCGACCGTGGACCGCAGCCGCTCCACCCCCTTGTTCTCCTTGATGCGTCGCAGCACGGCTGCCAGCGTGGCCCCGCACAGGTTGGCCGAGCGGGTGGAGACGATCTGGCAGATGCGGTGGGTGGCCACACAGTCTTCATGAGATGGCTCCAGGCCCAGCTTGGAGAGGATCTCATGGGCTTTCTGCAGCCCTTCTTTCTCCCTGCACATCAAAGAACAGAAAAGGATTCACGCCTGGAAATCCAGCTCTTGCCACCTGAAGCGCCCTGGTTTGCTCAGTGGATAGCCCTGCGGTGGGTCCTGTTTTCCCCCAGCACGGGTGTCAGGAGATGGGCTGGGACCCCGGGGAACCATCCGGATCCTACTTACTTCTCAATAGCAGAGACGTATCTGGTCTCAAAGTGGCCGGTAGTGAGCAGATCTGGCGTGAGCTTTCCTCCGAACAAGAGCCCTTCCTTGGCCATCTTCACCAGGATGAGCCTGACCAGCTCCCCCATGTACATCCCGCTGATCATCTTCTCAAACCTGCCGACGGGGGAAAGCACGAGATGCGTTTGCTCGGCTGCGTGTGCCGTGAGGTGGGCGCAGGTTGGTCTGAAAAACACCTGGCAGCCTTCAGGCCCAGGTGCCACCCAGGTAAGCTCTTTCCAGAGTCGTCTATCCCATCACTCGGCACTCCGCAAGGAGAACTTGTGGCTACCTGAAGGGGTACTGTCAGTTTGCAGAGACCCCCCCACCAGATCCCACCCGTGCTGCCGTTCCGGGCAATGGGAGATCTGTAGGACTTGGATGTGGACATTAGGTGGTGGTGTTTGCCTTGGCTGGCACTTAACTTCATCGGCCAGGGAAAGAAAGAGAAATCAACACATGCAAGTGAAAGGCTCACGAGGGAAGCAGGTG